TATATATATATATGTAAGAGAGTGTCTACTATATATACACTATATAAATAAAGACACTAAACATATTATATTATATTTTATATTTTATTATATTTTATTTTATTTATAAATAAAATAGAATATAATAAAATATAATATAATAAATCCACGCTCACAACCACAACAAATATATTATATTATATTAATTTTATTTTTATATAAATATAAACATAAATATAAACATAAACCTCGCTTTTCTTATCCTTCTAGGGTTTAGGGTTTAGGGTTTAGGGTTTAGGGTTTAGGGTTTTGCTTCTGCTGGGGTTTTTGCTTTCTGTAGGATTCCCTTCGCTAGCATTCGTCCTTTGGGTTTGGGGCTCTCCGGCAGTGCAGCAGCAGCAGCAGCAGCAGGAGCAGCAGCAGCAGCAGGAGCAGCAGCAGCAGGAGCAGCAGCTGCAGCAGGAGCAGCAGCAGCAGCAGGAGCAGCAGCAGCAGCAGGAGCAGCAGCAGACTTCTTAGGCGTCTGCGCTTTGCTCTTTCCGATGCTGCTGCTGCTGCTGCTGATGTTGCTTTTTGCTGCTGCTGCTGCTGCTGCTGCTGCTGCTGCCTTCTTGCTGCTAGCAGCAGATGCTTTGGTGCCTTCTGCTGCTGTTTTTCCTTTTGCTGCTGCTGGTGCTGCTGTTGTTGCTGCTGTTGCTGCTGCTGTCTTTCCCTTCGGTGCTGCTGTCTTTTGTTGTGCTGCTGCAGTCGGTGCTGCTGCTGCTGCTGCTGGTGGCGTTGCTGCTGCTGCTGCTTCTCCTGTTGGTGCTGCTGCTGCTGCTGCTTTCGTTTGCTGCTGCTTAGAGGGGGGCTGCTGCGGCCGCGGCATCTCTTTTGCTGCTGCAACAAACTTAGCTGCCATCGTGCTGCTGCTGCTGCTGCTGCTGCTGCTGCTGCTGGCTGCTCCATCTGCTGCTGCTGGTGCTGCTCCTCCTGCTGCTGGTTTGTCTTCTGCTGCTGCTGCTGCTGCTGGTGCTGCTGCTGCTGCTGCTTCTTTTGCTGCTGCTGCAGGCGGATGAGCTGCTGATGATACTAAGGACTTAGATACAACCAACGCAGACTTCTGCGCACAACACATACACCCCAAACCCTAAACCCTAAACCCTAAACCCTCATAAACCCTCATAAACCCTAAACCTTAATATACCCTAATACACCCTCATAAACCCCAATACACTCTATTACACACTAATAAACCCTAATAAACCCTAATAAACCCTAAGAAACCCTAGTAAACCCTACTAAACCCTACTAAACCCTCCTAAACCCTAACAAACCCCCATAAACCCTAATAAACCCTCATAAACCCCAACAAACCCTAAACCCTAGACTGTACCTGTGTTCTTGCTTTGGGCGCTGCAGTGGGCGAGAGTAGAGAAGTTTCTTGGGGTGTTTGTGTGAGTGGTTTTTGTGTTTCTGTTTTATTTAGTTCTATATGAGGTTTATTTATTTCATCTTCTTTTTCTTCTTTTTGTTTAATTGGGGCGAGCAAACGCAGATATGCAGATTTGTGTCTGGCCGGTAGCTGCAGGGCCCCCATAGAGTCTAGGAGTTCAGGGGGTGGTTTTGTTGCTGCTGCTGCTTTTGCTGCTGCTGCTGCTGCTGCTGCTGCTGCTGCATCCGATGCTGCTCCTCCTGCTGCTGGCTTTCTTCTCGTCTTAAAAGGATTCAGATATTCATACCAAGCTACTTTGTCTCCTTTTTTGTCTTCTGCTGCTGCTGCTGCTGCTGCTGCTTTTGCTGCTGCTGTTGCTGCTGCAACTGTTGCAGCAGCAGGAGGCGGACGCGGCCGGAAATCAAACGACGCGCTGTACACAGAAACACCAGCAGCAGCAGCAGCAGCAGCAGCAGCAGCAGCAGCAGCAGCAGAGTGCATGCAATTGGTGTTTGTTTATTTAGGTGTATATACACCACAAAAAACAAATTTATAAAAAAGAAAAAAAAAAACAAAAAAAAACAGCAGACAAAAAATACTAAATATAAATTCAGTTTTATTTACTTTACTTACATTTATAACTACTCTTATATTTATATTTATATTTATTTCTAGGGTTTAGGGTTTAGGGTTTAGGGTTTAGGGTTTAGGGTTTAGGTACCTGAGCACTCGCTCGGGGCGGAGGGGGGGGCCCGCGTCCCCCGTGTAGCCGTTCAGACTAAAGAATATAGCGCCTATAGAAAATAAAAAAAATAAATAAATAAATATATTAATATATATAAATAAATATATATAAATATATATAAATATATATAAGTAAATATATATAAATATGTAAATAGATAAATATGTAAATAAACAAATAAATAAATAAGGAGATATATACCATATATATATATATATATATATATATATA